TCATTTTGAATTACCATAATTTATTTCAACAAGGTTACATAGAAAAATTGTTTGTACATGAATAAAATCTCGACCCTAATTTTTCTAGTTGTGACATAGTTAGAGGGTGTTAGGAGGAGTTCCCTCTGCAACTGATGGTGGAGAGTGGTGAGGTGGTAGCCCTAAGAAAACCTAGGAGGTGATTCGATGCCGAGAGCCTTCTCTTGTTAAGGCTTGTTTGGATTATTAAGGGATAGATGTGGAAAGTACGGATAAATGTGGAAGGTAGTATGGGCCCGTACTACTGGAAGCAGAGGATCCGTACTCGAGTCAAGGGAAGTCACGATGGTACTAGGAAGCTTTTAGAGTGTGGGATTTTTTGAGCGTTTTCTAATGGTTTATATGATTTATGTTTCAGTATGGTGGTTACTCGAGGAGGTTCTAGTGCAGATGAAGGTGCCGGTGTGGGTGCCAGTGATGGTTCGGGTTCGGGCTCTAGGACCAAACATATGGATAATCAGATGCAAGAGTTCATTTCATCAGAGATTACTTGCAATATTCTTGAGCAGACTCTTGTGATATTCGGTACGGTCAAGGAGGGTATCATGGAGATTCTGGATGAGCGCTTCGACACTTTTCGTTCTGAGATGGTGGTGATGATAGGAGCTCGCACATTGACATACCGTGAGTTCCGGGCATGTGGAGCCCCAGAGTTTTTTTTTTGGAAGAAGGACCCTATTACGAGCAGGCGTGGGTTGGCAGACATCAGGAATGCCTTCCGACTTGCATACTGTCTTTTGAAAAACAGAGCTCGAGACTGGTGGGAGGAGGTTGGACACGCCTTGGGAGGCGATGTGGTTGAGTCGATGACTTGGGAGGATTTCATGAAGAGGTTTCGAGCTGAGTTTGCGCCAGTGATTGAGGTCCAGCAGTTGGTGAGGGAGTTTCAGGACCTTCGCCAAACTACTGAAACGGTGGCAGAGAACACTCTATGTTTTGAGAGAGGACGTTACTGGTTCCGCAGTATGTGGGGGACGAGGAGATGAAAAAGGCGAGATATCATGAGATGTTGAGGAGCGATATCAGACAGTTTGTGAGTAGATCCAGTTGCAAGACACTGGATGATATGATAGCGCGATCCAGAGAGAGATTGACTTGGAGATGGAGAGGAAGAGGAATCCAGATCAGGTTCAGAGTTCAGAGTTCAGAGGGTTCGGGCAAGAGGCCAAAGGTTTTTTACTCGAGGTCGAAGGGCCAGCAAGGTTGGGGCCGCTGCGGCAAGTGCGAAAAGACACACGATGGGGCGTGCAAGGCGGGTGGTTCTGGCTGCTTCAAGTGCGACAAGACGGGTCACTTCAGCCGGGATTGCACTACCACCACCACCACCCAGGTATCTGATCTGACTTGCTTCCATTGCAATTAGAGGGGTCATAAGAAGGTCAATTGCCCGAGTTTAACAACAGGGGGACCAGTCGTAGCACCCGCTCCGACGACTTTGCGGATTACAGATGGCCGACAGGGGCAAGGCAGAGGCGCCTCTGGTGAGGAGCAGGGCTTTCCAACTGACAGCCGAGGAGGCTCTTGCAACACCAGATGTGGTGACCGGTATGTATCTTCTCCTTATCTCTTTATTTGTCTTAATTTTCCTGCTTATATATTTTGTTTTTGCTTTTAGGGTCTTTCCATGTGAACGGTATCTCTGCTATGGTTCTGTTTGATTCGGGGGCTACCCGATACTTTGTATCTCTCACACTCAGAAATAGATTTGTCGATGCTCTGGGGGAACTGGATTATCCATTAGAGGTTAAGATTGCTGGTGATCGTCCTGTGCGAGTATCGAGGGTTCAATGGGGTTGTGTTTTGGAGTTGTTCAGTGAGCGGTACCCGTTTGATTTGGTTCCTATTTCCTTGCGTGAAAACAAGGTTATTTTGGGGATGGATTGGCTGAGCCCCAATGAGAAAATGATTGATTGTGAATAGCACTTGGTGCGTATTCGGACCCCAAGGTGGGGAGAGTTGGTGATTCAAGGAGAGGGTGTTCAACGTGGGTCGGTTCTATGTTCAACAACTAGGGTCAGACGCTATCTTCAGCAGGGTTGTTCCAGATTTATTTCCTATGTTATGGATACCCAGGAGAAGGGTAAGACTATGGTTATCCTTCATAAGAGATAGATTTTGTATATGATTCTGATTTTAACAACTCTTATGATTTTGGTTTTTATAGATTTTTAGTTTTAGTTAGACAGCCATCCAAAATCTAGTTTACATATTTTTTATGAGATAAATTACAAATAAGATTATTAGTTCCAGATTTTACAAATTTTGAAAAGGTAATTAATTGTGATTATATCAGATTATCCGTTTTGGATTTTAAGTTTCATTCATTCAGTTTTTTTTTTTTTTTTCAAATTGACCTTTTAAGGGTTGGAAAAGAGAAAATTGCAAATAAGGTGTTATACTAATATATCTGCTATAGAGAGGTGCTATAGAATGTTTGTGTTCAAATATTAAAAGGATGATAATATTTGGTAGAAACAAATTTTTTTTTTATTCACTATTTTGAATGAATCTTTGTTTTTTATAAAATATTAAAAGTGTGATATTTAGAATTTTCAAGTTTCAAGACCATTTTTTACTAAATTGCACAGAGCCTCCAATTTCCCGGGGCCGACCCTGGATATAGGATCTGGTTCTTGTAATTTCCACGATGTAGTTTCCTTTTCTATCTAGCTCATTGCTAGCATATTGAAATTTCCTTCATTTAAAAAACATACGTTATATGGAAAATATTTCTAGCTAATTATTTATCTATAAGATAAGTACATGGAAATGTATGTAGTCTAATAGCTAGATTTTCATAATATGGAGTTTGAACCTAATAGGAAGTAGTAGTGTTGGCATACTTGTAGACGTATTCAAACCGAGTCTCAACAATTTTTATATGAGAGTTGTAGTTTCATTATAGATTGAACTCATTAGACCATCTGATATATCCTTCACGAAGGGCCTTCGTTGCCACCAACACAGCTCACCACGACCGTGTACACCATCCTGTGTGTTTCATGGTGGTTGTGGTGTTGTGAATTGTGATCAACACAACAATGGAGGATAACCAATCATCTTTCTTCTATTCTTTTTTTCCACCCTCTTTTTTTTCTACATAAATGTTTGTGGTTCGTGATATATAGACGGAAGTTGGCGTGGAAGAAAATGGTGGCGATGTGGAAGAAGATGATGGCTGAGGTGGAAGAAAACCACGGCCATGCATGGCCATACCCCATGGTGCCCATATCATATGGCCTTATAGGCACTAGACTCTTACGTTGTGCACGTGATTTATATACGAGATGATTGTGATACACAACCGTGTGAATGGTATCTGAAATAATTACCTTTTTTTGTAGAAACGATATGAAGTAGAACAAAGAACATTAAAAAAATACCGTATTACAATATGAATGATGTTTGAACGGTTTAGCCATGGGACACACTATTTGACTGAAAAATCATTGATCCTATCGGTTGTCCTTTAGTTAAAGTTATATATTTACTTACTTATTATTTTTAGTTTAAGCTGAGTTGTTGATACGAATTTATTATCACCCGAGTTAATTTAAAACCAACATAACGTTTTTTCATATGTTATTGCGGAAATAATATATTATATGAGAAATTAGATATATTAAATTCATCATCAATTTGTAAAAAAGTTATGCCCAGACAAAGCATGAAGAAATAATCAGTTTTTAACTGAAAAAAACAAATTTATAAATGTAAGGTTTCTATCACATTTACCATATTATATTACAATATATATTTATAAATATTATCGTCTTCATTACTTTTTAAATTACGGAAGTCGACAAATTAATCTAGCATGCGTTGTATTGGTCGAGTCAAAAGTGGGAAAGATGCCTATCTACAGTTTTTTAGAGTTTGGGCTTTGGACCATATTATTTGTCGTATTTATTGAATTGGACAAAAAAAAAAAATCTTAGTTTTATATATCAAAATAATTTGGAAATGGTAAAATGATTGGATCCAACTAATAGTTGTTGGCATATCAAAACTGAACGACTTTTATTTAACGTTAGACATTAGACATAATATTTAATATGCAAAAAGTTATGACATCATAGGTATGCCGGATATATTGGCAAAAGGAGTTATTCGTACACAAAACAAACAGTTTTTTATACATAAAAATTTGTATTTAAAAATGTTACATGGTACAATTCTATAATAAATTGTTATGTATCATAATCACTTTTTATTATTGGCAGATGACTCAAAATCCTATGTTCGGTATCATGTTGCAGTTGTACGCGAATCATTTGTTTTAGAGTACTCGGTATGGGCATGTTAAGGGAGCCGTTATGGCTGGCAAAACGGTGTTATGACTTGATGAACACCACCCCCTTTTCTCGTTAAGGGGGTGTTACGGTGGATCTTGTGGTAACCCGGACAAGATAAAACAAGAAAGATGATTGACTATCTCCTTCATCAACCAATCAAATAATTTTCTCTATTTTCTCTCTCTACCTCTTAACATGATATAACATGTGGAATACTATTTCCCCATTGGTGTTATGGATGAGGTGGCACCAATTTAGTGTTACATCCACTTGCCCACACCCAATGCTGTTAGTGGTATTCGGTTGAGATATCTTTTGTATACACGAGCAAAGGCAGTATGATTTTTAAGTTTATTAAACATTCGTCTTTTTATCGTATTCACAAATCACATGTATTTAATTTACAAATCTTGAGCATTGTTAATTGGTTACTTCCCTTTTTCACCTTTTGATAAATGCGATTAAGGTGATTCAGACATGTTCAGACAGTGAAATCTTTGATGATAATGTCAGGAAAATTAGCAAAACTGGAGTAGTAACAATCTAACTAACTAATGAGAATAAGAAGTGCAGTTTAAGGCTTAGTTTTGCTCTACACAAAAAGAGAGAAAAAACTGATACAAAATCAGCACAAATGCACAATCCAGACTTATTCTACTAATAATTCTACAAATCACTAGTTTTTGGATCTATTTTCCACAAAGAACAGAACGACACAGATTGCCCTTTCCACCGTAACCCAATAGACTCATCTTTTTCCTCAACTCTCATTTCCCAGTGACTATCATACTTTTTCAACAATGCACGAGCTTGATCCATGGCATCTTCTCCAAATGCATTCTCTACAAATCCAACGCCCCTCATCCTCTCTCCCCACTTCTCTTTCGTTTCATTCATTTCACACATGTTAACCAGAGCCTTTGCAGCTTCCCCTTCCATCACTTTCCGTTCTTCCATTTCTCTCCCTTTAAATGCCACACTTGTGGAGTCCAAAAACCTCCACAAGTAATCCAAGCTCCGGGAAAAACCTGCATCAAAGCTGCTACAGCTTTTGCAGCTGCAACCCATGTTGTTATCGCTCAAAATTACTCCTTGGGGGTTCATACTTCGCATCAGTTTCAAGAACTCTGTTCTGTTGTCTGGTTTCGTGTGGTGGTTTAGGTCGTGAAGTCTAAATTGAGCACATACGATTAGGGTTTCATCCGGGGATGAATTGATGATTTGGGGATTTAGATTATTCAAAGGGCAGTCGTCGAGTGTGTTGATCTGTAAATTGACATTGACATCTTTCGCGAAACGGAGGATGTTTGAGGTGAAATCGTAACCAGGAGGGCAGTTTGCGAAAGGAAATTGTCGGTTTTCCGGTGGGACGACCGTGAGTCGAACCAACGGCGGTGGACCTCCCGGCCGGTGACTCAGTGCTTCTAGAAGCGTAGGCCACTGGAACCCATGAGAGACTCCGATATCGAGGATATGAAGAGTCCTGTTATTGACTTGCTCCGACAACACTTGTAGGATCGCGTTGTTGGCAATGTTGAAAGGAATCGTGAACCATGGATTTATATCATTAAAATTGATTAAAGATCGTTGGAAGAATTTAGGTGTCGCCGTGGTGAAATTCATGGCATTGGCAGGGGTCCGGGTCACCACCTTTCCGGTGGAGGAGGAGAGGTGGTGGAGGAGCGCTTGCAGCCCGTGAGACGCCAACCTGTAGTTAGCATCTCCGGTTGGTGACGCCAGCTCGTGAAGAACAAAGAGTAGATGCTGGACACGTGTCACATTCCCGGCGGTGATTGCTGCAGCACATGGATTCAACAACTGCTCCGCCCACCTCCCATCATTCTTCCCGCCATTACAGTTATCCTTGGTGGCTTTTCCTGTCCCCTTCTTGTGTCCACCGGATCTTTTTCCCTCTTCTGTTGCTTTTCGTTTCTTTGACAAGTCAACAACCAGTCGTTCTTCAGGTTGTTCAGGGACATTGAGAAGATGAGTAGGAGCTGTAGTAGTACAACTGCTGACTGTAGTGATTAAGTTTTCTACGGAGTTACAAGTAGAGATAGTATTAGCATTGATGACGTCATGTTCTAGCTCTTCCAATGGTGCCCACCATGGATCATCGATGTTGTCAGTGGAGTCATACAGATCATCTAAAAGAGATGGAAGGTAAGGTAATGACTCTTCTAACCAATCCATGATTTGACCCGAGTTGAGATCCGGATATGGATCTGGTTCACCAAACAACATGGTTTCAGAAACTGGGTTTGTGTTTAGGGGAAAAGAAGATAAGAACAGGGAATCTTGCTTAATCATTGGATTGGATATATCTGAAACAAGAAATGATACTACAAGTTTTGTGAATAGAGTAAGAAAGTTGTGATCTTGTTTGTGATTAGAGGATGATTAAGAATATATATAGGAGGGGATTGGAGGGTGAAAAGTATAATTAAGGTGAGGTGGGTGTGCTGTTTTTTGGAAGATATGATGTCTACTTTTGGGTAATTACTATTAAAATCAATCCTAAAGACAAAAAAGGGGGAGTTTGACAGAAATTTTTTAGAACCTATAAAATAGGTGAATGTTGTAAAGATGGTGTAAACAGAAATTTTTTAGAACCTATAACTTCTATAACTTGTATGATTGTTATAAAGATGGTGTAGATGAATCAATTTTTTTATGTGGATTAATCACCTTCCAAAAAATTAAATCATCCATATAAAATATATTTTTCACTGATTTGTACGATACTTATGTGGATAAAAAGTTGATGTATTCACATAAAATATATAGGTGTTGTAATCAATTTATCAAGTGGAAGAATACCATCGTCGTATTATGTAATTGGATTTTTGGATTTATTTTTTGTAATCAAGACGGCAATTCTGTATTCATATAGGATTAATTAGTATTAAACAAGTTGTTCTTGTGTGGGTCTACTCCTTCCTGTCTTATTAGCTAATTAAAATATTTTTGGCCTGGTTTAATGATGATAACTTGTCGGGTTTGTATTATAATACATAAATTGAAAGTTTAAAACATTTGATTCGATGAGATTACGTCATGATGTTTATGTTGGGAAGATTTTAAATTTGGAAAATTTAAGATTGGCTCAAGATTAGATTTGACTTTTTGGCCTACCTTAAATAACTCATTAAAGAAACCCCATCCCAGCTATTTGGAGTGGAAGTCATTTCTAAAAGGGAAACAAAGTTATATAAAAGTAGAAAGTGACCAAAATATGCAAATGCTTTCTTAGATATAAACATAGCAAACATAGAATGTTCCCTCAAGTACATTTACTAAAAATGTATTATGCAACTTAATTAGACACTTTATCCATGGATATTGCTCACTTAATTAGTGGTTTGCAGGCTGTTTGATCTAGTCTTAATTTTTTATGAATAAGTAGCACAGTTGACAATATTAGTTTTATCATTCAATAAATTGTATGACTCCATTTAGAATCAATTTTTGGAAAGTCGCAATTGAGACCATAGTAGTTAATGTCAAATATGAATCTGTTCTTTCATTTGATAATACGAGTGCATTGCGCAACCTTAATTAGTTCACCAATATGGCAATCTAGTATATAATACCTTTGTTAATACTAATTAATCCAGAAAACAAAATCAGAAAAAAAATGGAATTAAGACAATCGTACATCAAATTAACTAGTGATGAAGAACACTTAAGACCAACATAATCCTATATACATAGGGGTTGACTTGCATACCATAATCATTAAGTTATTGAAAACAGACACAAAAAGACAGGTAAATTAATCAACATAAAAGATTAATGGGTCCTTAAGCTTCTTCAATTCACAGTAGCATCATCAACGAAAGTAGTCACCTTCACCTCCACAACAAAGAAGGCAAATAATTTGCAACAAAGCAAAATCAAGAATATGTAAATCAGGAGTCTTGTTACTAAAGCTATCAAATGCAACAGCTGTCACCCCACCAGCATTCAAATAAAAATGCAACTCATTAAACAAACGCCATCCCAGCTATGTGGATATCATTTCTGAAAAGGGAACAAATATAAAAGAGGAAAGCGACCAAGAATATTCCCAAATACTCATATACTAAAAAGTTATGCAACTTATTATAATTAGCCACTTTAATACTTTATGTCGTTGATGTCATTACTTTTTGGGGTTGCAGGCTGTTTGATTCAGCAATAATTGTTTATGAATAGATACAACAGTTGACATTATTATCTTTTATCATTCAGCAAATTGTATAACTCCATCGATCCAAAATCATATTGGAAAGTCGCATAAGCATGTTATCATTTTTTGGTTATTGAGTAGTTGATATTGGTTAAACAACATTTGAAAATGTCAAAACGTTGAGCATTCCTTCAAATAGTTAAGCGGAGTGTGTTGATCACCAGTTTCCTTAGAGTTGATTTGGTTGTTACATATTCTATCTCTTCCACTAAATTAAGCCTTTTAACAAACATAAGCTGAGAAATTGCTTACTTTTATATTTTTATCAGATTACTAAAAAAGATTTTGCAAAGAGTTATAAAAAAACCACTTTCATGTTAACGTTGGATCATACCTCTAAACAAATGGCAAATTTAAAACAAAAAAAAAAACCACGTGGTTCCATATTAAAATTAGGTAGGTCCTAAAACCCACCTAAGATGTATGCTCTGCCCCTACTTTAAACTAAATTGCACACATGACAAATATTTTGGGTTTTTTTTTCACTATTTTTATAGATTTAAAAAAGAGAAATCTTCGAAAAAAGTCCTAAAATTTTACCCTAATTTATGAAAAAGTCTCAAACAAAAATTTGTATACAAAAAAGCGTTAATTGTCGGTAAAAATGACGATTTGACCATTTTTCCCTGGTTTTAGTTTCATTAAAGTCCTATTATTTTATCATAATTTACGAAGAAGTCCCAAACTAAAATTTAGTGATGATTTGGCCATTTTTTTCCATGTAACATACATTTTACCGGTTTAATTGCTGACCTGGACGCCTAGTCATTAAATGAGCTAATAAGATGGATATGTTGGTTTATATAATATTATATTTACCATAAAACTTGATATCCCGATGCATTGTATATTTTTTGGAATATAAAATGTATCCAACGAAGACTGCAATAATTACATAAACTAGCAACAACTTCGTCATTTTTACTTTTATAAGAAATTTCAAATTGTCTATCTAAACTTATGTAACTCAATATATCTATTTCATCAGACATTAACTCATTTCCTACTGTTTTTTTCCTGGAAACACACATTTTATTGGTTTCATTCATGACCTAGATTCATAGTCATAAATGAGCCGATGAGATGGATATCAAATTGTATAGTAAATGTAGCATTATATAACCCATCTCATCCATCTTATCAGCTAATTTAATGTCTATGTGCCAAATTAGCAATGAAACTGATAAAATGTATGTTACATGGAGAAAATGACCTCATCACTAAATTTTAGTTTGGGACTTATTCGTAAATTAGGGTAAAATAATGAGACTTTAATGAAACATGTAAGTAATGAAACCGGTAAACCGGGAAAAATGGGTCAAATCGTCATTTTTACAGGCAATTCATGTTTTTTCGTAAACAAATTTTAGTTTGAGATTTTTTCGTAAATTAGGGTAAAGTTTTAGGACTTTTTCGAAGATTTCCCTTTAAAAAAACAACCCTTCTATAAATTAATTTTTTAGAAATTTATAACAAAAATAAATTATTCATGTATATAAGTCTTTCTCGTAATATCAAAAGAACCATTCAAATGAGTTTGAAACATAAAAACTAATAAGAAAAATGACACATTATCCTAACAATATTTTTGGAATTTGCCGAATTAGTCCCTTAATTTTTTTTGGGTGCTTTATAAGGACATAAAGTAGAAGTTAACCTGTTTATTTAGTCTCTCTAACATGGTATAACATGTCCACTATGACATATAATTAATTGGAGAATATGTGGTTGCCCGAATCAGCATGTGGCTGACACGTGGCAATCCACTTGGAACTAAGTTTATTAAGAGGGTAATAAGGGTATTTCACACACACACATATACATATACATATATATATATATATATATATATATATATATATATATATATATATATATTACGATCCTTCACTTCTTTCTCTTTTGATTTTCTTTTCTTCAAAAATATCATCGAAAATCTTATCAAGACTTTTGTGAATCTTCCTCAACTTTGATCTCGTCTTCCGATCCTTCTTTTTCTTTAAGATACCACCAATACAACTATACTTAATCTTATTACTGTTGCCTGAACTCCTCCATTAAACGATGAATATATACCTATAATTGCTCAATTGTTTAGCAATTCATCTCCGATGAAAATGATTCAATAAACGGCAGGTGTATCCTTCTTAGGCATCTGATTGAAATACATCCCTCCGTTATCTATATCTCCACACTTTGCATACCCACCAACTAACGTATTCCAAGAAGCTTGACTTCTTTTAGGCATTTCATCGAAAAGTTTCTGTGCACAATTCATCTGCCCTAGGTTTACATACATATCGACTAATGATTTAGCTACAAACAAGTTATGTCTGAGACCTTATTTAACAACATGGTCATGCACTTGTTGGCTTCTTCGGAAATCCAAAGTTGAAGTGCACAACTTTGCCAAAGTCAAGAACATATAACCATCTGGTTTAAAGTTAACCCTTCTTCTTAACTGTTGAATACCGAGATGAGTTGTCATCATGGTCTTGCTGATAAAGGTGTCATGTTTATTAAGCATATGATTGAATAGTTTATGGGCATATCATATGAGATCGGTTGCATTTTCAGATGAGGTGGTAATTTGTTTAACAACTATGGAGGAACATGTGGCGATGGATTTGGCAAGATTGTTTTTGTTCTTGTAAATAGAGTTTCTAATCGTGAAAGCATGGATTTGGAGGAGGTGAACTTTGGTGGTGCAGTAATCGTACGTTTAAACTGCAGTTTCTGTGATCTAATGTGTTGTTTTCTGGTGAAATGTGTTGTGTAAGAGAAAGTATGAGGGTGTTTGTAAAGAAGATGAAGATGTATGATTAGATTGAGAATTGAGAGAGAAGAATGAGGAGTAGGAAATTTGAGACTTTTCAAAGTCAACATGGATTAATGGAAAATGGGTCTATGTGGCAAAGGCGTGACCAAGTTACCCCTTCTATTTTGTCCAAAACCACTAATTAGACCCGAAAAAATAACTTTATGCCCTTATAAAGCACCAAAACAATTAAGGTACTGATTCGGAAAATTCCAAAAACATTATTTGGTTAATGTGTCATTTTCCCAAACTAATAAATAT